ACACAAGTAATTTACCTAAAATCACCTAAAATCCCAACATGACAACAAGTACAAAGAGTTTACCCATGCTTCTAAACCAACACAACCCACGCTGCAGCAAACTCTTGCAAGACGAGATAAAATGTCCAGAGACAATCCAAGTGCTGTGAAAATAACACAAGCAATTATCAAGTACATTGCATTGAGTGACCAGCCACTCTCGGAGGTAGAAAATGTGGGATTCCTGCGTCTCCTCCATGTTCTGGAGCCCAGATATGATGTCCCAAGCCGCCGCTACATGACTGACACGGAGCTGCCTAAACTACACGACTCCGTGCAAAAACATATCCACAGCCTACTGCAAGCCTTCTCTGCGTTTAGTTTCACCACGGATATTTGGACAAGCAGTGTTAGCCCCGTGTCGCTAATTAGCCTAACCTGCCAGTGGATAGACGAGAGTTTCACGCTGCAACGAGCCATATTACATGCGAAACAATTCCGCGGCTCGCACACCGGCAAGGCTATAACGCATGTGTTTGAGGAAATGCTCCAGACATTGGGTATATACCTAAAACATCAGTACATGTTGTGCTTCGTGACAATGCCAAAAACATGATTAAAGGGATAGTTCGGCCAAAAATGATATTTAACACATGCATTACTCACCCTCAAGCCGTTCGAGATGCATATGTCAATCTTGTTTCAGACGAACACATTTTCAGTTATTTTAGAAAATGTCTTAGACCCTTCAGTGGATATAATGTGAAGCAATGGGGTCCACCTCCTTCAAGTCCCAAAATGTGCATACATCCTTCACAAAAGTAATCCATCCGGCTCCAGGGGGATAAACGAAGGCCTTCTGAGGGTAATCCGTGCGGTTTTGTGGTAAAAATATACATATTTAAAACTTTATAAATGAAAACATCTGACTTCCGGCAACGATCGACGCGCGTTCACGGGTGAACTCAGGGTGAACTGAGTGGAGTTTTGTTTTGCTCTGCTCTCTGGCTGCGCTGGCGCCTTCGTTCTACGTCACGACGGTTCCTACGCTACGTCATACCTCATACGCCGACTTCCATCCGTGAACGCGCGTCGATCGTTGCCGGAAGTCAGATATTTTCATTTATAAAGTTTTAAATATGTATATTTTTACGACAAAACCGCACGGATTACCCTCAGAAGGCCTTCGTTTATCCCCCTGGAGCCGGATGGATTACTTTTGTGAAGGATGTATGCACATTTTGGGACTTGAAGGAGGTGGACCCCATTGCTTCACATTATATCCACTGAAGGGTCTAAGACATTTTCTAAAATAACTGAAAATGTGTTCGTCTGAAACAAGATTGACATATGCATCTCGAACGGCTTGAGGGTGAGTAATGCATGTGTTAAATATCATTTTTGGCCGAACTATCCCTTTAAAGCCATGAATGATACAACATGCTTTTTTATTTTAAATAAATGTTCTTAATTCCAAACTAGTCCCTTGTTTTTTTGTTAAATTATATGACTAAAGCTGTTACCTGTAAATTTAAATCATGTTTTTTTTATTAAGTACTCGGTATCGGCGAGTACTGAAATGCAAGTTTTCCAAAAAAGTGGTATCGGTGCATCCCTAAGGTGTACCAAGTGAACAAAATTTACTGATGGCTTAATTTAAGAAATGTTTCATTGCGCTTCTGATTTGGCTGGGAGATTCTCTGATTTTGGGTGCGCAACAGTGAGTTTGTCTAGTAACTCATCGAATCTTCACCCCAAAATGGTGGCCGCGCTACCGAAGCGCCACCTAGTGGCTGTTACCAAAAAAGCATCAGAGTTTCGCCTCTTGTTCTTCTATACTCTTTGATATAATGTAATAATATACAGCCCTAACACATATGACACAGTAACGACAATGACAACTCTCTGACACTAGTTCTACTACTGCTTCTACTGAAAACACCCACACGGTGACGCAAGTTTCAAACTCCCTTTATCCGGAAGCGACATTCAGACAGAACCATTGAGGTATTCCACACAAACCGAGGCCTCGTTTGTCATTAGTTACGTAATTTCCAGATTAACAACACAAGGCTCAAATCGAGGATTCATGTGGCACACACATTTATTCTCTTGTATATCTTTTGTAATGTTGCTTTACCTAGAGCCAGGTGGTCGTAATATTATGGGGGCTCGTCCGGGATCAAACTGAGAAAAGCTCAGTCAATTCTTTGGTAGGCCTATTTGGTAAAGCAGTTAGGTGAGAGATAATTGGATGAGTTTGATTATTTGGTAAGTAATAATTTGATTAAAATTATTCTTGGGGAGTGTTTGGATTAAGCCAAATGGAAGAATTACATCGGACGAGGGTAGACGGGTTAGCCGTTGAGCTGCATGTGGGCGACCTGAAGACTAGGTCTGATTTGGACCTTGGTGCCCTTCCTCTTTTGCTCTTCTCCTGGATTGTTTTTCTTGTCTTTAATTACTTTTTGTATTATTATTTTAATTTATTTCTAATTAAATGTTCATTTGTTTAGTTTACTTTTGTTACACCTTGTCTACCTCAAAGGCCTAACATTAAAATGAAACAAAACAAATAAAAAAACCTTGCGAATGAAACAATGTTTATTGGATTTAACAGGTTTATATTACAATTGGGGATTTGGCTTCAGGAGCCAACAGAGCCCAAAATAGCAAACCAAAATACAATTACTTCCCCAACTCCCTTATCTAAACCAGGCAATAAAGATCAAACAAAAAGTGGCATCGGTCTCCCTACCTCCCAAATTACTATACACAATTGTATACAGGTATAAGAGCAAACAAATCAGTGCCGGGGTAATCTGGAATCTAGGTCGTTAAACAGGCGGTAGTCAATATCACAAGTATGGCAGTTCACAAGAAACAAACAAACCACTTCTTTCTCAAACAAACTCTCAAATAAACACCCCAAAATAAACACTCAACAGTCTTACTAATACACTCTGAAAACGAACTAGCAAAGTCACGCAAGGCAAGTGTAGCGAGTGAGCACAAGGCTAATGAAAAAATTAACGAAGGAGGCTTTTATAAATGACCAGGAGTCAGCTGATCAATCATTGCTTGGCACCAATCAGACTGCAGGAACCAGTCTGGTCTTTTTCCTAGATAAAAAAAAAACACCTCCCAAAACAGAATAAAACACAGAAACAGACCAAAAGGGATGTAACAAAACGTAACTCCATGTGTGGCCTCCCCTTTTTTAATGTTGCCTCACCTAAAGCCAGGTAGTTGTAACTCAGGATATAGTTTATTGTAACTGTATGTATTTTCTTGTTGTTGAAATATCATGATCAAATCTCATTATACAAAAGATGAAGTACTATGCACAGGATATTTGAAACAGTATATTTGACTTCAACTCCACAGCAAAGACTATTCTCCGCTCCTCAAATACAAAAAATGTGAGCCTTTATGGACATTTGGGGCTTTCGCACAGGAGGAACCTTTTCATAGTTCAAAAGAACTATTGGCGGAAGTTCCCAGTTTTTGGCGCATGATTATGTATTTCTGCTCAGCTGGCGACACTGGACATCAACCACATGGCAAACCCTAATAACTTTTCTTTACTGTCTACTTTCTATGTATAACAGTCCTATCTAATATCGTATTAGACAGATCATAAACTAAAGAACCGGGAGAATGTGAGCACTGTGTGCTCATTCTCTGGCATTCTCAGCACCATCAAAATAAAGGTCCGCCACACCGTTAAAATAAGTTACAACAACAAGCGCGGCTTACGTCACTTCAGAGTTCCTACTGGCGGAGCGAATGCAACCAGAAAACGTTCCTAGGGGAACCATTAGTTCTCGGGGAACCACCCTGGTGATTAGTTCCTATAACTATCTGGTGCAAAAGCCCCTATAGTGTTTCTTGAGAAAAGAAAAATGCTGTACTTACTCAAACATCAGTCCTTTATCTGTTCCTTACTGTACGTACACACCACCGCTGACTTGAGCTTCCAAGGTTATCGGAAGTCATTCATTTTCAATGGAAGCTGGCTTCTCTCAGCTGCAAGGAGCGTCAAAACCATCGGAGTCACGTTTTGGGCGTTTTGAGCGACCAGAGCGTCAATCAGAAATTTGAAAGTAGCTCAACTTTATGGTAATGAGCTATGAGACGGTTCAGCGGCAAAACGCCAGCAACCAATCGGAATATAGATTTCCTTCGCGTTGGCTGATTGCGGAGAAACATACGATGTAAACTTTCGTTCCTACCAAAACATTAGTTCCGAGAAAATGGAGGAGAAGCTAATCATCGCCGCTGCTGGGTTTCCTATCATTTATGATATGACGTTGTTTGCATATAGGGACCAGTTACAAAAGAACGAGGATGAGCGAAACTTTTATTGGAAATATTTACGAACGCTCATTCTAAGCGGGAAAGCAATTCATTTGCTCACGGTTACACCGATTTGACCAATTGCACTAGATACAAATAATAATAGCACATTTTTTTTTTTTTTTACCAAATGTGACCAATAATGGTTATAAAAATGCTGTCATTATAAAAGTTTCTAGTGTCAATGTTTTGCTTGTTTTTTCTGTTTACATTTCATATTGTGACACTTCTCTTCGCACATGATCAAACATATAATGCTGCTACGTGAGAGCAGCCAAAGTGTCAACAAGCTTCCCCGAACTTTTTGACAAGCATCCTTGACAGGGCGGTCAAGGCTTCTTTGCAGCTCAAGTCGGCGGCGGTGTGTACGTAGTTACCCTTGCATTGCAAACAAGCAGAGATCTCCTGTGCATGGCACTTCATTCTAAATGAAGAGAGAGAGGAGTTATGAGGCTTGACTGACAGTTAGAGGAGCCAATGGAGTTACGAGGTATATATATCCCTCACAACCTCTTTTAAATGCTTTTTATTGGTTAAATATTATTTCTAAGACCCACATACAGACGTAAAGGATGACCAATAACATTTATCTTATCAACCGAAAATGATGAAATATAGAGTTACAAGGTTTCGGCCCTACAGAGCGATGATACATTCTTATTTGTAGCATTTATTTTTACTGATTTTTTGGAATTTGATCATTTTCCATGGCACACCTGACAACCTGTCACGGCACAGTGGTTGGGAAGCCCTGAATTAGGCTAGACAACTCCGGCAATGAGGCAGTAGAGTAGATAATCGGGTAAAACTCTTCCCACATGAAGAGCACTGGTACGGCTTCTCTCCAGTATGAACTCTCTCGTGAATTTTCAACGAATCTGACCGAGAGAAACTCTTTCCACAGTGTGAACACTTGTGTGGTGTCTCTCCAGTATGAACCGTCTCATGAGCTTTCAAGGAATCTGACCGAGTGAAACTCTTTTCACAGTGTGAGCACTTGTACGGTTTCTCACCAGTATGAACTCTCTGATGTGATTTTAAGTTGCTTGATATAATGAAGGTCTTTCCACAGTCAAAGCACTCATAAGGTCTCACACCAGTATGAATACTCTCATGCTCTTTTAAATTTTGCAGTCGTATAAAACTCTTTCCACAAAAAGAACAAACGTGAGGCTTTACACCAGCATGAGTTTTAAGGTGTGTTTTTAAGCTTGATGCCAAAACAAATGTTTTCTCACACTGATCACAGCTGAATGGCTTCACTCCAGAGTGAAAGAGCATATGATCTTTGAGAACGCTTTTGTAACCAAAACTCTTTCCACACTGAGAGCATGTATAAGGCTTCTCTCCAGTGTGAGATCTCATGTGCACATTAAGGTGTCCTTTCTGAATGAAACTCTTTCCACACTCAGAGCAGTTAAACAGATTGTCTCCAGTGTGAATTCTCATATGCACATTTACGTCCTCTTTGCGGCTGAAACTCTTTCCACACTCAGAACAGGTGAATGGTTTTTCTCCTGTGTGAATTTTCATGTGATCATTTAGGTGTCCTTTATGTCCGAAACTCTTTCCACACTGAGAGCATGTGAATGGTTTTTCTCCGGTGTGAGATCTCATGTGTCGGTTAAGGCCTGATTTATCTATGAAACTCTTCCCACACTCAAAACAGAAGAACGGTTTTTCTCCAGTGTGAATTCTCATGTGTATCTTAAGGTGTGATTTAAACAAGGAACTTTTTCCACACTCAGAGCAGGTGAAAGATCCTTTGTCTCCAGATTTTCCAGCTTGTTTTTGTGCGAAATTCTCTTCAGTCTTTGAAACGACTGTGTGTCCATCTTCATTTGTGAAATTATGCTGTTTGTCTTCATTCACCTCCGTTGGGTCTAAAAATCAACATATTAAATTGCCCAAATTCAATTTAAGAAAGGTAAATGAGAAACAAAGAAATAAAGTTCATGCTTTATTTAGCACAAATCTAGTTTACTACTGAGTCTACGGTAACACTTTATTTTAAGGTGCTTGTAATAAGCAGTAATTAACAGTTAATAAGACACTTATAAGACCTTATAAGATGCATATAAGCATTAACTAATTATAATAAATAAATTAAATTAAAAAATAAATGTCTCAAGTATCAATACATTGCACTTTTAGAACAGCCGGACAAACGTAAATGGTAACACAAACTCCCAGTCCCTTAAAAATTGACCTTCCCAAGAGGGAGTAGTTTCCCTGATCTCTTCAGGGCCTGGACCTTTAATTAACCCTTATATGAAGTAGTTAATGCTTATATGCATCTTATAAGGTCTTATAAGTGTCGTATTAACTGTTAATTACTGCTTATTACAAGCACCTTAAAATAAAGTGTTACCGAGTCTACTAGTATCTAGTTTTAGATGTATTTTTATATCTTCATGAGAACCAGAAATAGAAGATAATTTTTTTGTGAATTTAGTTTGTCATTACATTGTTTGGAACATAAAGAACCAATGGAGATTTTTTTTGTGTGTGAAAAAAAAATGTCTGTAGAGGACACCAATGGCATGATATTTTTTTCCCAATCAATTTTAAGGTTTCAGGCTATTTTAAACCAAACTTTGTATAAAGATTATTCTCGACTATGGTATGAAAGATATAACAGAATTATTTGATATAATATTTTACTTCATGCAATATATGAGTAAAATTGCCATAAATGGGTAGTCCCATTCTATACAATGTAATTTGAATTTTAATGTTCTTGTGGCAACATGTAATGAAAAAAAGTGTAATAATGCGAGAAATAACTTTTCATTTGAATACCTCATATTTCATAGGAATACAGATAATTTATTTCCTTTTTGACTTGTAGTCTCCCCCCAAAATGCCTGATAAACATGCTGTAAGTCCTGGTGTCTCTAAAGAGGACATGCACAATTTGATGAATGTGATGTTTTTTTGGGTAAACAAAAGGTTTTTTTTAAACAAATGAAATAAATGTATGTACATGTAGGCTATACACATTGCATTTATATATGTATATATATATATATATATATATATATATATATATATATATATATATATATATATATATATATATCCCCTAAATGTTTGCTCAATCATTGTATTTGTGTTTTAACAATGGGGTGATTTTGTTGCTCAAGAGATTACACAACACAAGGAAGCTTGATTTCAATCTTTTAATTAAATTAAAAAGTAGCACATATAACTATAATAAAACAAAGATACAAATGAAATAAAGAGATTTTGGGTAGGCCTAACACTAGAAGTCCTATTTTAAGCGTATGGTCTAAGCACACGGCATAAGTGCACTTACAGCGTGTCCGAATCCACTTTTGCTAGTTTAACGATGGGAGAAATGGTTGGCGTGTCCGGCGAATGGTCTAAAAGGGTTGTCCCAATTCTCTTAATGAGTAATGGGTGTGTTTTGGGCATAATGTGCAATAAAACCAGCCAGAGTCTTATCTCCCATTACCTTTAAAAGCCAGTGCCATGGCGGATTCGCTATTTACATGGCGGAATTTACAAGTGGGAAAACTGACGTCTCCAGAGCCCAAACGGATCTGCTCGTGCGGGAAGTTAAAGTGCAAGCAGACCATCTACGGGACAAGCTGTTTTTAATATTTGGCATGTTTGTGTGTTGCTGCACGTCCCTGTGTGTGTAATAAGCAGAGTGTGCACTCTGTCCACCCGTATTTAGGCGCACATTACAAACGCACCTTTTAAAGGAATACTCCACCCAAAAATGATCATTTACTCACCCTCAAGTTGTTGCAAACCTGTATGAGTTTCTTTCTTCTGCTGAACACAAAGGAAGATATTTTGAAGATTGATTGGAACCAAACAGTTGTTTGGCACCATTGACTTCCATAGTAGAAAAAAAAAATACCATGGAAGTCAATGGTGCCCCACAACTGTTTGGTTCCAATCGTAAATGATGACAGAATTTTTATTTTTGGGTGGAGTATCCTTTTAAATAGGAAAAAAATATTGCGCCATAGACTTTAGACAAGGTTTTAGTTGGTCAATGACACAGTCTATTTCAGTTGCCTCAAAATAGCAACGCAACAACAATGCGCCTGAACACACTTTGTTTTCAGACCAGCAGCACATAGGCGCAAATGGAGGTGTTTAATTTAAAAAAATAACTAGCAGTCGCACTGAAACTAGCAAAAAACACTTGCGTAGAGCCTGGAGCCGAAATGCGCCGGGTGTATGATAGAGCCCTAGTATTCAGAACGGGGCTTAAAGTGTAAAAAATTCCTGAGCCTGAACTTTTTTTGGGGGGGGGGGGGGGGAACCATTCTTCATCTTCAAATGGAACCATTTATGGCATCTTTTTATTAATGAAGGCCAGTATCACTGATATTAATATAGCTAATGCTGTCTCGATGAAAATTCTTTCCCCAACAATTTTAGGGTTATAAAATAGTCCGCACTGCATAAAATATTAATTAAATTAGATTAATCCTTATTAAAGCTACAAGCGTTCTTTAGTCAAAGAGTAGTTAGTAGTTTTCTGTTCCCTTTGTTCTTTGGTTAACTTTACTGACAGACAGAATTAGTGGCTACTGTCACTTTAAGATCTACAGCTGGTGACAGGATCTCACGCGTCTTATTCTCTCACTACTCTTTACTTCCATTTAAGATTTTATTTAACTCATTTAAGGTTAATAATGGTTGATTCTTGTGAGGATACTCGACAAAACGGACATTTTGGCATAAATGTGTGTGTTATTGTTCGTTCAAGCGCGAAAGAGAATTCGATACTGGTTCGCGACTTTTTGTGCCGTGTGTGTGTGTGTGCGTGAGGAGGACATTTACTGAAGTGTGTTCTCTTTTGTCTTGTTGCACATTAATGGTTTAAAGCATTTGGTGGACAAACTAATAACTAATAAGAGCGTGATCATAACCCTAGCTAAAGAATGACAAAGAACGGATGCAGCGTTAATTGTGTTAAATATTTTAAAACATTAAAGCTGGACAAAAAAAAAAAGAAATCGCATACGTTAACGTTGACAGCACTAACTTTACTTGTCATACATTGCTGACAGAAAATGAAGCGGTTTAAAGTGGACTCGTTTTCATGGTAGGCCTATACATAATGTTTTTTTTTAGTAAGCTACACAGAATGTTCTACATTAAATATTTATCTAACAGTCTGATGTTACCTAGCAGCAGTGCATGTTAATGTTAGCTCAGTCAACATAAGGCTAACATCAAAAGGTGTAGACAGAAAATATGATTATGCTGACCTGAGCTAATTTACGAAATCAACCAAATCACATCTCCTTTCTTTCTTTTCATCCATGATGACATTAAAGTCAGGTCTGATGTTGTTTCTGGAGTTCTGCGCTCCATGCTTTCACCGACGACGCTAACGTGAGGTATGGATGGATCTCAATCACACTGTTGCCAGGACCCGCCCTGCTCTGCTTCTGATAGGCTTGTGACGTTAGTTAGAGCTGCGCTCCTCTCATTTGATTGGTAGGTGAAATCAATTGACTCGAAAATATTAAACCGCATTCAAGTTCCCAGTTTCAAATGCAGCCGCCCGGTATGCGCGCTCATAATGGAAGTGGCGCACTTGTTTTTTCCAAGAGCGTCCGCGCCGAAAGTGCCACCGACTGTAATTTGCAGCCTGATTAATACATTTTGCCTGCGCCGGAGGCCGGACCTGCCCCCGGCCGGAATACTTTAAGCCCTGTCAGAAATACTACAGAAACTGAATAAAGTAATCGAATTTAAAATAACACTGATAGTCTTTTAGTCCTGTATAAATTAAATATATTATAGGCTATTAATCCTGATTCCTTACCGTTATAGCTATCTTTTGTTGTTTTATCAACATTAATGACAGACATATATTGCTGCTGTCACTTTAAGACCTAGTGCACGCTGCACGGATCCATACTGTAACATACATTCTGTATCAACTGCTTATGTTTATTTAAGACATAACCGACTCGTCAAGACTGGAATTTTAACATTTTGTGTGTGTTTCTGACAGGACCACTATCGTCAAATACGATTGACAATTAGCATAGAGTTTGGATTGGCGGTATGGTTCCGTTCTGGGCGAGAACTCCCTGTGCATCCATGCAGCCTAGCATGGATAAGAGCAGGGAGAGCAGCAATAACCGCCTTTAAGGTGATGATACACAGGGCAACTTTTTGGGCAATGTTGCTGAGCAATGTAGCCATCAACGGGCAACCAGATGAGACACAGGGCCCACGACCGATCTAAATTATCCAGATAGAAATGTATTGCCCATTTTCAATGGGAAAGTGCTAAAGCAACAATCGCTCGGCAACATTGCTCAAAAAGTTGCCCTGTGTATCATCACCTTAAAGGTAAACAGAACAGAACCAACATGAATGTATTGCAGATATCATTAATTCAAGATTTTAAAATACAACATAATTCGAGAATTTATTCTGATTCAAGGGGAATCAGAATGCCAAATGTTGACTGGGCGAGAGGAGGAGCTGGGGATGGAGTAGGGTAATTCGCTCATGAGAAACGCGATAGCTGCTGATAATACTGAAGGAGCTTATATACAGTGATAGGCGTCGTGTTCCTATAGGTAGACGTGGATCAGCTGATAGTCACTGATGCGAGCTTGACTAACCTGACCTGCCAGAACTGACACTACGCTTGATTTTTGACCGTTAAAGCTGTTATCCATTAAAAATAACTCAGTTTTGTCAGAACTGTCCCAATTGTGAATGTGACAATTCTGTCAACTGTCCCGACCCCCGAAACGAGAGTCTGGTATCGCCGCCTGCAGCACGCTTGACACTTGCCTTTTGTGCAGATGCAATGTGGAGATGTTAAAAGTGCATCGTGAGAGAGAGAGATAAAGAAAGGGAGAAGACGCAGCACCACTAATTCACTCACGCTGTTTGACTCATGTTGCTTTTTCAAATGCATGTAATAAGCGACTCAAACTCGCTTTTAGAGATGGAGCAGAGAAATTCGCTAAAATATAATGTCCTCTACAGAGGAAAAAAGTCTATGTCTGGGTCTCAAGAGAATATGTGAGTTTTCATCATCAGTCATTAAAGAGAATGAAGGAAAACACCAACCTATTTGTTCCTCAGTATCTTCATCTTTTATTCTGCAGGGTTCTTCCTTAATCTCCATCTTTACAATAGTATGTCCGTAGTTTCTCCTGGAGTAATTCCTCCTGCTTGCTTCTTCTTCTCCTGTGGGGAGATGGGAATATTCCCCAGTAATTAAACTCTTTATGTTTTTTTTTTAGAAACAATTCAACTCTAGCTGATGTTTATGTTGCCCTTAAGTTACATCCGGTATAATTTAAATACATTAAAACTGTTTTCCAGGTTTAATTTGTTAATTAGGCTACATAAAATAAAAACACAACTCATAATCTTCACAAATTGCAATGTGAAAAAAACAGTCAGTAACGAGTTTATGTTTCACGAACGTAACAATATCAGTCGGTTCATTTCGATTAATTTCTGAGAGATTCAATTAATGAACTGACTCGATTAGCCGTTTGGATTTAGATTTCCCCTAATAAATTATCAAATGAATGTACGCACAGTCTGAAACAGCAGATTTAGAGCAGAATGCACGGCTGTGTTCCACTTCTCATGTTTATGTTCCCTTCCCTCGCTCACTTCTCTTCTTCTCTAGACTCGGATGTGTGTCGTTGCTTCGGTTGCTCGAGCGCCTCTACTGGCGGATAACAGAAAATGCGTCGCGCTATACAGTGGAAGTTGCCCATTCAGAGATGCCAGGATTTTCTAGATCTTGAAAAGTTAGGAGGAAACAATATTATTTAAAGGTCCAATATGTAATAATTTTGTAATAAAATATCCAAAAATCACTTGCACAGTGTGATATATTTCCTGCAGTTGTGTACTTACAATATCCCAAAAGTCTCCAAAGATTTTTTATTTCAGAGAAATTCCAATTTTAAATAAGTGGCCGTCCCGGCCAACAAATGTGTAGTACCCCAGAGTGCAGTCTGGACGATGGGGCGGGGCGACACTTTTAGGCGGGGCGACACGTGTCGCTCCGCCCACCCCCAATTTAATTGGTTTATAATACCGCAATCTTATTGGTGTAAACCAGAGCCGTAAACAATTCAGGTCTGAGCATGCGCATTCCTTAATGTACGACTTTGTGAATGATTTGGCCGTATCAAAGAAAAATTAAATGCTAACTTTAATCGTATCTTATTATCAGTTTACCATGGTAATTTTTGTTAATATCTATTGGCTAATACTTTATTATACTTAAGACACAGTATAGATTAAGTTATTGTTTAAAAACGAACGCTTGGTGACGTTACTTGTACTTCAGGGAGATGTTTTACATTAGATTAGTGCGTCATTCACTTGGCTTCTTCATATTTCTATCAGGATCGGTGGATCAGCACAAACTCTGGATTTTACGCAAATGATGATAATTGACTGTAAGAATGTAAGCAGCTGATTTTAAATTCTAAAGCATGACCGTTTTTTGTTGTCATTTTTTAAACGAGATTGTCCAATTCTTACATTATTTGGTACAAAGTGCAAATAAAATGTTTAATGGCAAACACGTTTCCTGGTTGATTACCTGTCCATACAATATGAGGGCCTATTGGTATGTTATATTTTTTAAAGATTCATGTTTTCTAATAAGTGTTAACCGGTTATGTACGACTGTCTATCTGTGACTGTGACATCAGTAGGCTATATTAAAAATCCAATTGTTTATTCATCCACCATCGCATTGCGTGTTCATGTTCATGTAGGCTACTGGATAAAAATGGTTACAAATATTAACACTCACATATAGGCTCTGCATAACCATAAAAAAAACAGGGACTGTTTTACTGAAATACAGGGAATTATCATAATTTGTGCAAAATCCCGAGTTTGTGTTTATTCACTGATCCTAATGGAAAAACGAAGAAGCATAAACGAATGATATAAAATTAAGGAGCTCTGCATGACATGCGGAAAAATATTGTCTAAATCAGCCCACATAGAAATGATCTCTCCTTTGATCTGCCAGTAATTTCATGCAGTTATGCTCATTGCCCACCAAAAGTGGCACTGACTTATCTGTAGGGTAAATTAATATAGTATAGCTAGGCTAAATCTCAAACAGTGTATTATTTATCAGCAACCTATTTTGTGATATCGCCAACCAATAAAACTGCTCAATATTAAAGCTTACAATATGACTTTTTGTAAAGCTGCTTTGAAACGATGTGAATTGTGAATACATTTTGACAGTAACTTCATCTAACTTGATTCGTAAGTTCATCAAAACATTATCCAATTGATCGTTACTGAAATCGCAATGGTTATCACTTAATATAGGCTATTACGGCCAAACAGCGTCATAGATAATTCATAAACTCGTACATAAAAGAATGCGCATGCTCGTGCCTCAAGCGTCTATGCCAATAAGATTGCTGTATTATAAACCAATAAAATCGGGTGTGGGCGGAGCGACACGTGTCGCCCCACCTAAAAGTGTCGCCCTGCCCCATCGTCCAGACTGCACTCTGGGGCTACTCACAAATGTCGCCTGTCAATGACGCAATATCCGCCTTAACCTCGGTTTCCGCTCGCACTGCCATGGCCATGACGTAACCATGGCGACAGACGTGGACAACTGGTAGTGCGTAACGTTTAGCGGCACGCAGTTCTTGTTTCGTTCAAACATAGACCATGGCAAGCAGACTTTGGGACAAACAAGGAGAACTAAAATGAGGATCAATATCAGCGTGGCATTTTTGAGATGCCTAGAGCTCCACGTCCGCGACTAACTTGGACTTGACAGAGCTTCACGAGTCACGACTTGACAGCTTTATTAGACAGGTGAGCAAATGTACTACATACAACAAATCAATGTTATAACGTTAGCTCAACATGATGAAATGTTAGAATATGGTCAGTATGTTATTCTAATGTTGATCTAGCTTACCTTGCTAGTTTCGTATAGCAAACGAACTAACACGTAGAATAACGTTATAACTTTCAACACACATTTAAATGCAGTTTAGTGTGATAGTGTTACATTAGACCAAGTGAAGCAGCGCTGCATTACCTCACAAGTTTAATTCGTCTAATAAACTGACCTGTGTGTGTAATCCAGCTCTAAATGTCCTTATTCCTTTCTATTCGCGGGACTCGCGTGTAAGTCCCGCGGATAGTATCACTTACAGTGTTATGAAGCAGGTCGCGATTGCTAAAGAGACGATATCTGTCTCATAACACTGTAATGTTAAAAAACATGAAGGTTTGCACTCATCCATAAACATTATTATATCCATCAGCTTGACAGCAAGTCCCATCATTCAGCTGTTCACTGCGTCATACACATACGCCTTTGTTATTGTTGGAAACTGTGCCCTCTTGTGGCGAAAAAACTTACATATTGTATCTTTAAACTCCAGAATGAAATAGAATAGATCTATATCTGTGTGATTTCTCACGTGCACATTAATGTTTACGTTATGAAAGACTTTGCACGTTTTTTTCTTTCTTTTCATGAATTATTTTCAGTCTGTGAAATTACATCTTTGTGAAATGATGAGGTTTTTGAAACGGATGCCGTTTGTCTTCATTCACTTCCAGTGGGCCTCAAAACATTAAATTCCCATAATAATTTAATTAAAGAAAATCAAATTCAAAACAAAACAAAGAGCTGACTGTTAGCCTACTGTACAGTACTGTTATTTATTTATGGTATTTTAATCTTTATCGTCTCAAAAGTGGTGTGTTGCTATCAGAAATGAGCTCTATATTTCCAGCACTGTTAAACTATCAATTCATCAATTTAGTTCAAAGAGAAGCTGAAAGAATATTGATGAGGATTTATTGCTGTAATCAGACATCGATTAAACCTGTGAATGTGTGCAAATTACAAAGTCAAAGTTTGCAAATCAGAGATATGAAGGTTTAACTAAAACTACACGTGTAGCTAAAATAATAGCAATAGCATGCATTCATACAGATGTATATCAAAAAGTTCACGTGTTGAAAAAAAAAATGGCACTGTAAAGTCCAAAACTATTGTTAATATAACCAATATATAACCAATATAAAAACACAAGTTATTCTGAGGATCTACACTGTTAGACTTTTCTGTAATTTGTACAGTTATTTACTTTAAATCACCCTTATACTGCTATTTTCTCTTTAAAGTAAATAACTAGGATTCCCATTGCGTCATGGGAATTTTCTGTGACGTCAAACACCACACACAGAGACTTACTGTATTTTTTTAAATTTGCTATATACTCCTGTATTTGACGTAACGGTCTCTCTGGAACCATTATATTGTGCTTTTTATTTCCTAATTTTTGAGCGCAGACTCTTTCATGACCCAGAAAATAAATGTCCTCTCATCTCGTGCAGCAGAAGAAGAAGTTGTTCAGTCCAAACGCTGCATTTGTAACTGTGTGAGAAGATAATATATGAGCTGTAAGCTTCTCGCTGACATGTTGCAAGCTTTACTTAATATCACAACCGACATAAATGAAATACTCGGAGTCAGATACGCAAATGATTCAACGTCACACAGGGGCATGACCTGATTTATTAATAAAGTCATGTAAACATGAAACAATACCTAAATTTATCAAGTTACTTTAATCAATCACAATTCAACAGACTGTTAGCAATGACATTTTTTCAACCATCAGCTAAAGACATTTTTACTGCAAAGGTGGAACAGAAGCTGCATCTGACATGGCATTTAAGCCTACAAACATGAAGTCATTATAGAAGTGCTCTTGAAATTGAAATTGTAAATCGCAGTGACGAATCAAAATGCTTCAGATTGGACATCTAAACTCAACAGAAACATGCGATTGGTTATAATGCTCAACACTGCAAACTACGCGTAAAAGAAAATTACAATAAATATGATGTAAAACAAACAAATCTAATGTAAATGTAATGCCGCAATCTTCATATTACGGGAAGACTACTTCCTTTCAACCCCCCCAATCTTATTTTGAAGTGCTTCATTCAAAATACTTAGTCAATACTTAGTTATATTTTAGACACAATGTTAACTTCTCATTTCTTGAACTGTTGTATAAAATCATTACCACACATTGCACTCGTGTTATTCGGGACGAAACAGCACTCGTGTGATACTCGCTGCTCGTGTGATGTTGCTTGTTGTTGAAACTGTTTTCATCACTTTCCATGAAAACATTTTTCTCATGCCACTCAAAAAGTACACGTTTTTTCCCCTTTATTCTTGTAACAAATTTTACATTCAATGTACATTCGGGCAACACTTCTTATGTTTCTGTAGACTAGATGATTGGGTGTAACTCTTCCCACACGAAGAGCACTGGAACGGTTTCTCTCCAGTATGAACTCTCTGGTGTCTTTTTAAGTCGCTGGATGAAGTGAAGGTCTTGCAACAGTGAGAGCACACATGAGGTCTCACACCAGTATGAATACTCTCATGCTCTTTTAAAGACTTAAGTTGTGAAAAACTCTTTCCACATAAAGAACAGACGTGAGGCTTCACATCTGCATGAATTGTAAGGTGTTGTCTTAAGTTTGATTCCACAACAAATGTTTTATCACACTGATCACAGCTGAATGATCTCACTCCAGAGTGACGGCGCAGATGATCTCGGAGATTTCTTTTCTGACTGAATCCCTTTCCACATTGAGTGCATGTGAACGGTTTTTCTCCAGTGTGAATTCTCATGTGCATGTTTAGGTCTCCTTTCTCAACAAAACTCTTTCCACACTCAGTGCATGTATAAGGCTTCTCTCCAGTGTGAATCCTCAAGTGTGTCTTAAGCTCCGATTTATATCTGCAACTCTTTCCACACACAGGGCAGGTGAAAGATTCTTTGACTCCAGTTTTTCGAGCTCGTTTTTGTGTAAAATTCTTTCTGTTCCCATCTTCATTTGTAAAACGATGAGGTTTTTGCTGTGTGTCTTCATTCACTTCCACTGGGTCTAAAATCGACAAATATTAAATTCCCATAATTCAATAAAAGGAGGACAAATGAGAAACAAAAATAAATATGGTTCAGTCTAAAACTCAGCAAAAAAATTTAAAAAATAATTTATTATTGTACCAGGGTGTCTACAGATATAAACAAGTTCAATTTAAGACTTTTTAAGACCTTTTTAATGCCACTTTGAATTAAATTTAAGACCAAACCTGTGATGGAAAAAATGATTTCCATTACACGAGAGTAGATGTTAAAGCTTCATGCTGATTACAAACGTATATGTAATATTTAACGTTCAACCTAAGTAATTGAAGTAATTTAATATTAACTACTTATGAACCAAAATCAATGTTACATTTTGCAATCGTGAGAATATTCAGCAAAATAGCTCCCACCATGTTATGTTACTTATATCATATGTTATAAATAAAAAAACTCAACATTGTGAAGTTTTACCTCAGTATGTTTGTTCTGTGAGTTATGACGTGTGCTGTTATGCTCGTTTGTTTTGATTTCTCACTATAAAGTCTCTCACAGAGACAGGCGAGTCTCAACAGCGCTACCAGAAACACATTATCATTATCAAATAGATATTATTTATGTAATAAAATCAGAATCATTCTCGGGATTCGATGCTTCGCTGGTTATTTGACGGACATTGGGTCCGTCAGACTGGAGACATTTTAGCGGTAATGTGACCAGAAATATTTAAGACCCATCGAATCAGAATTTAAGACATTTTAATACTTTTTAAGGCCTTTTATTGGGAAAACTTTTTTTAAGACATTTTAAGACTTTTTAAGGACCTGCGGCCACCCTGTGTACCCTTTTTCAGGATACTATATTTCAACCATATATTTATAATATATTGTTTAATATTTTCAGATCTTATTGATCAGTTAAAACAATGTTTTTCATGCTTGTTCCATGAACCATAAACAATTATTGCACATGCACAGTGGAACAGTCCTTTAGACACAAACCCCAGGTTTCACAGACAAGGTTTAAGATAGTCTCAGACTAAAATACATGTTTGAGCTGTTTTAACTGAAAGCAACTTGCTCTGACAGATCTTACAATATGTCACTGCAATTGTTTTGTCTCAAGAACCACACAGTAATGTTTTTAAAGGCACATTTATAAAAGCTACTTGAATGTCTTAATTGAACTAAGGCCTAATTTTGGCTTAATTTAAGCCCTGTCTGTGAAACCAGACCTAACACTTCACCGGTGGAAGAAAATGTCACAATAACATTAAAGAGACCTTTCTACTGACTCTGAAAAACACCAGTAGAAAGATGCTCAGGGTCTCTGATCACCTGTGTGAACATGCCATAGTCCTGCTTCAGGAGGCATGAGGACTGCAGATGTGAACAGAGCAATAAACAGCCGTGTCTGTAATGTAAGAGACCGAAGAGAGCGATACAGGGAGACTTTCTAATGCCAACTACATTATGAACCCTCAGATCTGTTTAAGAACATGACTTGGTGGAAGTGTGAAGTAACATCTCACAGCAAGATCTGGCAAATCTTTCACAGTCTATTAAGATGAGATGCACTTTAGCATTTAAACTTCTGGAAACACCATATAATGATTGCTACTTTTGAGATTGAGCCCCACTCTGTTCAGGGACTCATTATTCCATTTCTGCTCGTCAAATGTCTGTGAAATTTGTTCCTTTTATGTCTCAGTTGTTGAATCTTTCCATGTTCATAAAAATATTTTCACATAATCAGAAATTTGCTTTAAAAAAGCAGCTGAAAGTGGGAGGACGATTGTTTTTTTGCTGAGTTTAGGATCTAGTTTTAGATGTATTGTTCTATCTGTACCAACCTGTTTGTTCCTCTGTATCTTCATCTTTTATTCTGCAGGGTTCTTCCTCAAACTCCATCTTTACAATAGTATGTCAAGTATTTTCTCCTGGATTAATTCCTCCTGCTTGCTTCTTCTCCTGTGGGAAGATGGGAATATATTATTATTATATTATTCAGGTGTTAAAGCTTTACTCTAATAGTAGGGTAACATGAGAGAGATGCCCCCCATTAAGAACAGTGTGGATTTACTGTGTGGATGCAACATATCAAGATATAAGTTTAGCATGTGCAGGAGGACGATGACGATTTATCAGCCAATGGTGTTACTATAGGAAATAAATATAAACATTTGTTAATAAAGTTGTTATAGCACAAAATGTAAATACAAAAAAAGGGGTAAATTGGCCCCTACTTGGGTAAGAAGCTGTGAGGGACCAAGCAGTCAAGGAATGAGGGCCATAGAAATATTTCCCAAAAATATATTTTACTAATCAAAGAAATCATATACAAAGAATTCAAAAGGAAAACAAAGTCCAAATAATCAAATCAAATGTTTAGGCCTATAAAAGAGATCAACAAAACAAACTAAACTCAAACAACTGAGTACATGAGAAGACAAACTAAACTGATCTACAAGTTAAACAGCAGGGACACATTTATACAAACGGACTAGTCCATATTAACACATAGGGGTTAGACAAAAACAACAAACTTCACAATACAATAACAAAATCAATACCAAGGCCGGTTACATAATTATCCTATAAATTAAGTGCATATCTTAACACCAATAATAAATCTAAGGAAAAGTACAAGCAATTAGAAAAGACAATACCAACACAAACCCTTCAACTCCCCCCCACAGTCAATCTACTGGTTGGTAGCGGCAAGCAGAACTAAAAATAGCAGTTGAAGCGGTATGCCGGCCCTTAATTCGCACAGACCACAAACGAAACTGGCGATCACCATCCGAACCCTCCAACCATCCACTCCTCAGCAACACAGCGGTAACTTAAACTCAAAGAAATCAATATTAATAAATGTGTGTACTGTAACTCAAATAAATCTTAATGATAAATAAACAATGTCTGCATCTTATTGCCAAATAAATATATGAACAGAAACCATTGAGGGAATGAGTAAAACAAAAGAATGTGCAGGATGATTTCCAAGAAAATCAGAGTTATGAGTGTTTGTATGTATGTGTGCGACATCACCGTTCACTGATGTGTGGCTGCATCAGGGCCATCACAGAAGCCAAGCCACTAACCTATTGGTTTTAGTGAAAGCACAGATGTCTGAAATGTAGATCTAAATCATGGAATACTGAATAATAACCCCATTAATTATGATAATTATTAAATAAAAAAACAATAACACTAGTAATAACAACACGCCACTTGGCACCTACTGTGTCAATTCTGGGTGGCTCATCTTACCCCAAGGCTCTGATTTTATCTTTTTACTTCAAAATAACACAGTGAAGAAAATTATTTCTCACACTGATCACAGCTGAAAGTCTTCACTCCAGAGAGAGAAGACAGATGCTCTTTGAGAAAGCTTTCTGAGTGAAACTCTTTCCACACTGATAAGGCCTTTCTCCAGTGTGAATCATCTTGTGTCTCTTAAGGTTTGATTTGTGTCCGCAACTCTTTCCACACTCAGAGCAGGTGATGTCTGGCTTGAATTTCGGCTATTAGTTTCACAGGAGGATCAATACAAACCAATCTGTGCCATAAAAAAGAGGCAACCAAATTATTTACAATAAGCACTCTACCCCTATAGGACATATTGGGTAGAAGCCACTTCCAATTATCTAAACGTCCTTTAACTTTCTGTAAAACACCATCCCAATTCTTTTGTAACAAATTATCATCTCCCAAAAAAACTCCTAAATATTTCAACCCCCACCTATTCCAGCACAAACCTTCAGGAAGACTTGGTTTCCCTTCCTTCCAATCTCCTAATAAAAACGCTTCACTTTTTTTCCAATTGACTTTAGCTGATGACCATTTTCCAAATTCCTCTATCAGTCCAGATAAAACATGTATATCACTTTGTTTGTTAATTACTATTATGAGATCATCAGCATAAGCTGACAAACAAAAATCAAATTCACATAAAGGTATCTTGAAACCATCTAAATTCTTCCTGATTTTTTGTAAAAGGGGTTCAATGACAAGAGAATACAACATTCCAGATAGCGAACAACCTTGTCTAATACCTCTTTTGACCTTGAACGGAGCACATAAGCCACCATTAATCTTAATTATACTCTCTATGTCACTATAAAGAATCTTAATCATGTTTAGAAAATTCTCATTAAAACCAAAAGCTTCTAAAATATTCCATAAAAACTCATGCTCAACCCGAATAAAAGCTTTTTCTTGGTCAAGAGACAACAAACCACAATCGATATTAAATAATTTGGAAACTTGTATAACATCTCTAATTAAAGAAATATTGTCAAATATTGACCTACCAGGTATACAGTATGATTGATCTGAATGGATCACCTGTCCCATTACCTTAGTCATTCTCTTAGCCAAAGTTTTAGAAAGTAATTTATAGTCAGTGCACAAAAGTGATACCGGCCTCCAGTTCTTGATCTCCAACAGATCCCCCTTTTTCGGAAGGAGAGTAACTACTGCCCTTCGGCAACTCAACGGCAGCCCACCCTTCAGCAAGCTGTCGTTGAATACCTCTAGCAGGTCAACTCCTAACTCCGACCAGAAAGCCTTCAGGAAATCCACTGGAAGCCCATCTATACCTGGAGCTTTCCCAGACTCCATCTCATGGAGTGCCTTATACAGCTCTCCCAGGGTTAGGCTACATTCCAGCTCTTCACTGGACTCCTCTGAGATCTTTGGTAAATCCTCTAGAAAAGGAGATTTTTCTTTGTTTTCTGGCTTAAGTTCACTTTTGTACAGAGATTGATAAAAACTCATCGCTACATCACGAATCTGTCTGGGATTATATAACAAATTGCCATCCTCAGAACGTAGGGCATGAATTAAACGATTCTGCCCATTTTTTTTCTCATGACCAAAGAAATACTTGGAAGGTGCATCCATTTGATCAACACCCAAAAAACGAGCACGAACTAAAGCACCTTGTGCCTTAAACTCTAACAGCTCTTTAAGTTCAGCTTTTTTCCTAAAACAAGTTTCCAAAATATTACTATCACCTGAGGATTGATACAACTTTTGTAAATCTATTAATTGTTTTTCAATAAAATCTACAGAACGATTAAATTCTTTTGTAACATTTCGAGTATATTGTTGTGTGAATTGCTTTATCTGTACCTTTCCATAATCCCACCATTGCTGTAAGGATTTAAAAGATGTTTTTGTTTCTTTAAAAGATTCCCAAAAAAATTTAAACGATTCAATAAATAATTTATCATTTAAAAGACTCGTATTAAAATGCCAATAAGCACTTTTGGATTTCACTGAATTTGAAATAAAACTACAACTTACCATACTATGATCAGTAAAAGACAAAGGCGTGATAAAACATTTGTTAAATAAATTTAAATGATGTTTAAATACATAAAATCTATCTAATCTTGCCAGTGATATATAATTATCACGCATGTGGGCCCATGTGTATTGTTTTTCATTACCATTTATCCTTCTCCAAATGTCACATAAGTCATATTTCTCAATTAGATGAATTAACCTCTTACGTGAAGCCATATGAGGTTCAACATGATTCCTATCCATATCCAACTCAGTACAATTAAAATCACCGCCCAATAAAAGAAAATCTTCAGAACCGCAATCTTCTAGTGTTGCACAAAGAGTATCCAAAAAAAGTAATCTTTCTATAGGTGCCGTTGGAATATAAACACAAATAAAAACAAACACCACATTTTCATAAGAAGCTCTAACTTTTAACAGTCTGCCTTTCACAACTTCAACTGCATCATACGAAGTTGGTTTAAACTTTTTATTAAATAAGACAGCCACCCCACCACTTATATTTGAGCTATGACTTAGCACGGATAATCCACTAAATTCCTTCATCCAGTCAACCTCATTCTCCACACAACTATGAGTTTCCTGTAAAAATGTCTATATTTTTCTGCTCAATTTCCTCAAAAATGTGTGCTCTTTTCTTTAAATTGTTTGCCCCATTAACATTCATAGATGCAATATGAATTTCATTCATAAAGAAAACAAAGAAAGAGAACACAATACGCCATACCAACCAACAGGAAAAAATATTCCTTTTCTTCCACTTATACAACATCATAGTTTTGAGCGATATTTATGTTCCTCACTATTTTCTTCAACCTATACACTTCCTTATTGGTAAATGAATCACTAGCCAACAAACTCTTTGCCCGATCCACAAATTGTTTCAAATCAGGAAAATATTCTTGCACCTTTACACCTCTTTTATTCTTTGTTGACCTGAGAAACAACTTAATGTCCTCAAGATCATAACTACGTAAATTAAATTCACTTTGAGAAAGAACCTCACTGCACTCATAAGAATCACTGTCACTTTCCGTCTCTTGAATATCCTTATCTCGTAATTCAGCTGTCTTACTGATTTTTGCATCTAGCATTTTATTTTTCATCTTTCTTTTTTGCGGTGTCTTAAAAGAAAACCGCTCTTGTTCTGGTGTCAATTGTGCTTCTTCAGCCATTACACTGATTTGAGACTCTTCACCATTTGCACCTTTTTTGCTTTCTGAAGGATCAACCACCCTATCAGAAACACTTAAAACACTGCTTGTAGGTAAAATCTTAGGAATTGGATCTGCTTGTTCAATCTGAGATGAAGCTACTTCAGCTACTTCAGCTTTAGTTTCTACTGAACAATCTACCACATTTTCTACCACTACCGAACCTTCTTCTTGAACATCCACATTAACTTCTTTTCCATCATTTTCCTTACCCTGTACAACTACTTCATTACTTTTTCCTCCCTCAACATTTTTGGTTGGGCAATTCCGAATTAAATGCCCTTTATTGCCACATCCGAAGCATTTGACTTTACCAGTCGTGACAAAAATCGAATAACTAAAATCCTCAATACAAAAATTCAAAGTTAAATCTAAATCGGCATCATCCGGAATAATCATGTACACGAAGCGCCTAAAAGAAACGATAAGTTTCAAT